ACTAGTTCTAGAAAATCGCGCCTGTCTCTTTTTTGTGTGTTTTTTATCGAGCGTTTTAGCCGTTGATGTCTTTGTTCAAGCGTGAATTTTGACGTCTTACTATATTATCCCCTGTCATCCCAATCTCCAAATCTCCAAGCCCGAATAAACCCACCAGAGCGGGAGATGGACGCGTTGACAGCAGCTTGGGTTCTCCTGGGCCCTTTATTAGCACAGACCCAGGGGGAAGAATTGGGGAGCTCCGTGGCTGCTGATTGGGCTGTCACAAATACGTCTGACATCAAAAGTACCGCGCCAAACCCGCCGTGGGATAAATACTCGAACCATTTTGCGACCGGTTTCTTCCCCGGGAGAGGGGAGATCACGCTGTACAGTAGTATTCAAATGTCAAACCGTCTGTTATCTCGTTTTGTCCTAGAGCGTCTTATTTTTATATATTTTTTTATTCATCGCGGCTAGAAGGGGAGTGTAGGCGAGAGTTACAGTCATACTAGCAATATGGCGGCCTATACAGTACTTTTTCTTCGCGTACGCAAACTACAATTGTCTCTTTGATTTAGCGAGATTTGAGGTCTGATCTCAGGGGTTTTTTGACATTCCAGCTGAAGTGGCCACCAAGATCCCCATTGCCTACCCAGTTCCTGTCAGTGAACGGAGATCGACATACGGGATCAAACCAAGAGAATGACACTTTATCGGCGAGTCATCTCCATCCCAGGATCCAGGGTGTTGGGCCATGCATACGCCGGATCTTGATAGGTTAACAGTAAATGGGAACTGACAGGCTCATTCGTTGGTTGGTGGAGGGGTCACAGCTACTAGCGCACCGGGGCCCAAGGGCTAAGATCCGATCGAGAGACACAAATGTTACAGATAATATTTCATATATATATATATATACACGTATATTCTAAACGGTACTTTCCCCCAGATCCATGAAGGGGCAAATCAAACTCTGACGGAACCTCCGAACTGCACCTGTGCGTCCAGGTACAGGAGCCTGGCAGGATAGTAATTAGGGCTAATCTCCCCAACGTAATAACTGTTCCCACACAGAACACACAAAGAAATGAACTAGTTGCTTACCACAAGTCTGGACCAGAGAGATTTAGTATGGGCCCTCGTATACCAATGGAGATCAAGGGATCTGATCACCTTATGGAATTGACAGAAGCCATGGCGTCCCGGAAGCGCATCCCCCAGTTCCCTTGTGGGGGGTCGATCGATAATCAGCGCCACTTGGGTTTGGCCCGACATGACACTAAGATAAAATAAAATAAATATATTAAAATTTATAAAATAAAATAAAAACAATTATGCGATCTACAAATAGTAGGACAGGGATGCAGGATCGGGACTGGGCCTAACACTCACCTGCATGTCGCTTTGAAGTGCGCCAATCTCGCTGCATGCATACGATGAGGGATGCCCGCGGGCTTTCTAGGATCATCCATGCTGCGTATTGCTCTGGTTTGGAGTCGTGCTTTTGTCATTTTTTTCCAATTGCCTGGAACCTCTCTGGAAACTGAAAAAGGCTTGCATATCCCCATCTGTTCTCTCTCTTTTTTTTCTGTACAGAGTATACACTTCACACTACATCCTGGATATTTATTTAACATCCCACTTGACCCACCCTCCCTTCTAAGATATTTTATTCTCATCTGCCCCAACCCGGCCTGTGTCACCTTCGTTTACTTGCGGGAACACAGTGGCTTCCTGTCGCTCCTGCATCCCGGTTGCCAACAGTCTGCAGTCATCCGTTTGACTCCATTGAGACTCTTGCACATTGTGATCTCGAGTGTGTGAGTACATCCCGGCGCCAATCGTTACATTTTCTATGGCCCTGTTTGCAAGAGCTTGATTCCCGTTGTCCGGCACGGCATGCGTTTGTCCTACCAGTTCCCGCGCGGGAGCGGGGAGGGCTTTCCAGCCGTTGGGCTTCCATATCCATCTCTGCTTGTGGTCCTAAAACAGTGGCAAGCAGTAGACTGACGCGAGTCGACAGATTTAGTGTCAAGTTTTTGTCAAGACTAAATCGCAACTCCCTACTCGAGGAAAAACAATCTCTATAAAGAGCACATTTCTCGCCGGAACCTTAAACGCCATCAGCCTCTTGATACATCACGCCTCTTTTAGTATCTTGATGTGCCATTTTGACTGAGATTCTATCACTCAAGCCGAATACGTCCCTGCTACCGTATCAACATTACGGCGAAGCATTTCTGTGTCTATCTATACAACAATGGTTTACAGTAAACCAAACCCTACAACTGGCGCCATGAAGCGATCCGCTTCAGCCCTCGAAGGACCTCCCGGATGGGACGTTGCTCCTGTATGTTTGTCTATTACTATAGTATTGGATATTTACTGACATCTTCCAGCCCATGATGACACATTCTCGCTCATCATTCCGTCCTCCTCATACTCACTACGCCATGATCTACCTCGATCATGACGGTAAGCTCAAGGTCGACGAGTCTTCATCTATTCAGGAACACAACGCGACTGTGTTCAGCCCAGAAGTCCGCCAGAACTTCCTCGAGATTCTTGGGGAACGCATTGGCTACCATGCACCCCCTCGCCGTATGTGATCTGATCCTGGCTCCTAACAAAGTATACCTACTAACACTGCCACAGAGACAGTAGACGCATCTCCTCGCCGGGTGAGGCGCCGCAAAGGCAATGCTCCCTCTATTTCCGAGGACCGTCTCTCTGAGCAGGCTTCCGACAGTGAAGACTTCTCCAACGGCTCCACTGAAATGGTTCCTCTCCGCATTGGAGACAGCCAGAAGGTTATGGCTTACTATGAGGGTGCCCTCAAGCACTTCCAACAACTTAACTGCCGCATGGTTGCCAAGGCATTCATCAAGTTCATCGAACCTCGCAAGCAGGTCCGACACCCTTACAATGGTGGCAAGCCTCCACCAGGATCTGCCCCCGGTACCACCGGTGACCCAGAGAAGACCAAGCCGGAGTGGTGGCCCCCAGGTGTCATGCACAAGGAGCCTGACCACCTGCGCAAAGAGTGTATGTACTACCTATCATATCACCAGGGCCCTATTTGCTAACCTAGTAACAGACCGCATTGAGCTTCTCCTTCACATCATCCGTCATCTCGGTAGCTACGGTATCACTGCCGACAAGCTCAAGGAAGTCGCTGGCGACACCAAGCGGAGCTTGAAGCACCCATCCCACGTCGAGATCATCTACGAGATCCTTCGTGTCCGCAAGATGGAAGAGCGCCTCGAGCGCGGCGAAGTCGACGCCAACATGATCGTCTACACCATGAACCGTGGCCCCAGCCCCAAGGGCGACGAAGAAGAAGAGTCCAACGACGCACCCTCAGTAACAGTCGAGGAGCCCGATCACAACGTACAAGGGCTCATGACGCCCATCTCCTCAGTCGAGCAAGTAACCGCCGCCCTCACAACACCCATCGATGCCCTCCCCGCCACCCGCTCCCTCCCAGGCAGCTTCTCCATGCCCGAGCCTCTCAGCTTCGAAGGACCCCGCCAGGACCGCCCCTACTACGCCACGCCACCCCAATACACAGACTCCTTCTCCTCACAGCCAATGCTCAGCACCCCCGTAACAGCGGAGATGATCAGCCCCCACGACGTCTCCGTCTTCGACTACTCCAGCCACAACGCCTTCCCAACCTCCACGCCTGACCACCAACGCGCCGGTCACTACGACCCTTGGGCTCCTGCACCCACATTCCGCCAGAATATCTTCGGCACTGTCGACTACAACGCCGCACCATCTAGCCAGCCCATGTCCCAGCCTTCAATGAGCTACCACATGCCCATGGCCCCTCACCACATGCACGACATGTCACAGTCTCATGTTGATCAACGATCCCTGCCTTTCCGCACGGGGTCGCTGGGCCATCCTCATCCCAATGGCTTGCCTCTTTCCCACCCCGTCTAAGGTGCTCAATGGCCGGGCTGGTCCCGATTGATTCTTGGTTCTTTGGTCTGTCCTGGTGCGACGATTCATGTTGACGTGGAGGAAACCCACTTGCCTAAGGGCTTTGGGTATTAACGAACGTTATATGACTGATGGTTCTGATAACCACACTTAGCGCTTGTCATAAGGCCTTGTCAGGGGAGTTATTGTCTTTACTTCATATCATTTCGATGTGGTTCACTCTGTGGATTAAAAAATTTGGGAGTGTCGTTCATAAGAAGGTGCTGGGCAATTGGGTTCTGTTTTCTTTTTCTCTTTTATTTCTTTCTGAAAATACTTTGGGTTTGATATTGATTTCTTCTCATATTCCGGACTTTCGTTTTGTGTTTCTTTTCTTTTTCTTTTCTTTGGGTCTTGTTTCTTCACCTTGTCGGTGATGACCTGGTTGTCTTTTCATAATTGGTTCTGTATATGGGTTTTTTTGGCTCGCCGATTTGGATATTCGGGCTCTCTGTTGATAAACGAGATTTTTGGTAGATACTTGGGAAATTCTTTGCTGTTTATAATATCACTTGAAGTCTATATTACCTCATTTCTATCGTAATTTCCAAGGATCTTTGTTATGACTCATAGGTTTGCTACATCCATGGATGTGCCTTCTACCGCTAAAGCTCTTCTCTTTCTAGAAATCGAGGTTTAAATATGCTAACTAGTACAGTAAATGGATTGCTTAGAGGTTGCATGGTAGAGGTTCTCGTATTGTTGTATTCTCGTATTATTCTATTGATTATACCCTCAATCACACGAATTAGGGCTCAATGAAATACCTCAATAGACAATTCGGTACGATTGAATAGACCCATTGTCGCTGTAGAATGCGCATGACCAGCCGAATAAACGCCAAGCGCGCGGGCCCGTATCGGCCACTCACGGCGGAGCAGCGGAGTGCTCTCCGCCTTAGAAGCTCCGTGAGGATTGCGGATCATCTTTGTCTTCTTCAACCCATTTTGTTGCTCTGTAAGTGCCTGCTTTGTTCCTCTCAAGCCGCTTGATGAATTCTTGCACTTGTACTAACCGCCAGGGACCGCAGTTCACCCAGCACCATCCTCACCCGCAAAGTTCGACGCGCACGCATCACCGGCTCGAACTCTCATCGCGACGGTCGACCAGCTTGCGAGGCTGTTGATGCCTTTCAACCAAACCGGTAGATCGTGACGGCCATTTTTCTTTGACAGGTACCGTAATCCCCCTTGTCTGACCTCATCCGAGTCCGCTTTGTTCTCTCGTTCGTCTTTGTGCCGGCCACCTGTTGCGCGCGCGCCGCGGCAACTTGGGAATATCCGGCGGGCAATTGTAATATAGGCAGATGGGCTGACTTCGCTTTCGTCGCCTCGGCGGTCACCGTCTCCGGCGAATAGCATTCTTAGATTCCTCAACATTCGATCGGCCTTTCGCATCTCACCAGAAATTGACCCCAAAACCAACCGACAACCGAGATCAATCTGAGAAGAAGATCAGCTCTGGAGTCGCTGAAGCAGGAGGCGGCCTATCCAATTTCTTCCGCGATCTGCGGGCAGGATGGCTAGCCCGTTCAATCCTTTTGGCGGTGCCGTGAGCAACGGCCAGAGGGGAGGACGAGGCGCGCAGGGCTCCGTTGGTAGAGGAAGAGGAGGAAATTCTGGGTTTGCTGCGACTCAATTCCAAGGCAATAATGCGCGGGGTGATGGAAAGGATCGCGGGCGTGGACGAGGTAGAGGTCAGAGTCAGTATCGGGGTCGGGGTCGTGGTCGCGGCGCTGGCGCTGCGAGCCACACTGTAAATGGCACACAACAAGCGACAGCAGGCAACCCCGGTGCTACCACTTCTCCATTTGCGCGATTGAATCAGCAAAACTCTTCCGTCGCATCTCCGTTTGGCACGCAGCCCGTCCAGCAATCTCCGTTCTCCGCTCTTCAAAAGGCCTCCCCGGCTTCGAATTTCTCCAACAACCCATTCGCCAAACCGGCGCAGAATATGAACCATCAAGATTCAGCGGCTTTCAGTCGCAATGGATCTGGTGGGCCGGTGGGAAATGCGTCCTCAGGCAATTACCAGGACCGTTATGACAAGGTGGGCAAATCCCCGAATGACATGCGACAGGGAGAAGAACTAACCAGAATTGCAGTTGAAACTCGACCGTGCCAAAGAGCGCCAGCGAGCAATCAAAGATGGACAGATGGCAGACCCCAACCAGCCGACGTCGTTGAAACAGGCAATCACACCCGTGGGAACCTGCACCAGCATGTGCCCCGAATTCGAGCGTGTTGAGCGAATCGTGCAAAAGATGATGGACAAGTGCGAAAAGGTAAAGCTTCTTCTCCTGCCTTTTATTGACCCCCCGCTCACCCTCTTCAGTACTTTGACCCGGCGACCAACCAGCTGGAAATCATGGAATCCAAGATGTTGAAGCGGTTTCGACGCTCAGCTGCTGGTTATGATGAGCAATTGCCCTCGGATATTCGGACACCAAAGACCCTGTTGCAGAGTATGAACTACCTCATTCGTTATGTTGTTGGTGGCAGTGAGCCATTGGCCATCATCCACAAGTTCGTCTGGGATCGGACACGTTCAATTCGCAATGATTTCTCGGTTCAGCAACTCACGCAAGAGGAGGATGTCAAAATGGCAGTAATGTGCCTAGAGAGAATTGCGCGCTTCCATATCGTGTCTCTCCATCTTCTTTCGAACCCCACAAACGAAGAGCAATTCGACCGTCATCAGGAACGAGAACAGCTCAACAACACTATGCTCTCGCTCATGTACTACTACGACGACAACCGTGGACGCATTGTTTTCCCAAGAGAGGATGAGTTCCGTGCCTATTACATCTTGTTTTCGATTCACGACCAGCGCCCCGACCTGGAAGCTCGTGTCCAGAAGTGGCCAGCCGATCTACTCGCCTCTCCTCGAGTTCAAGTGGCCCTCGATCTCTTTGCTGCTGCTGGCAACACCTGGGAATACCAGGGTGCTCTTGACGCTCGTCGGCCAAATGCCATTGCTCAGGGTTTCTACACCCGTTTCTTCAACATTATCAATTCCCCAAGCGTGCCCTATCTAATGGCCTGTGTGGCAGAGGTTTACTTCAACCACATTCGTCAGACAGCAATTCGTGCAATTTGGAAGGCCTACTGCCGGTCTCCTGTTTCACAGCAGGCGAAGAACGAGGAATGGACTGTAGAGGAGTTGACAAGAGTGCTACATTTTGATGACTACGAACAAACTATCCGGTTCTGCGAAGAACAGGATTTGCAGCTTGCTCAGCACGCTGATGGTGCACTTTATCTTAACTGGGGATCTCGACCAGTTGACTCCATCGGTACGTGTTCTTCCATCCCAAAACACGTTCAACCCTTAAACACGTTGTCTTCAACCCTCCACACACACACACACACACTCTCTCTCTCTCTCTCTCTCTCTCTCTCTCTCTCTCTTTTTCCCCCACCCACCTCCCAACAACAACAGCTCTTTCCCCTCCATATTTTGTCACCCACTAATCTTTCGCAGGTTTCTCGCCATCATCCGATCATTCGTACTCTGAGACCTACGTCGAGTCAAAGCGTGCAGGCCGCTCTCTGGTTGCCGTCATTCTTGGAATGACCATCCCAGAAGCGGCGAGAATGGGCATGCTCGATCGATCACTCCTGGCTAAGCGGAAGGACAGAGCGTCTGACCTTTCCGATGACAGCAGAAGTCTTTTCGTGAGTGATGATGAGAACCAGACACCAGCCCCAGTGATCGAGCCCAACGGGTTCGTTGACAACACGTCGGCTTCTGATCTACGCACTGCCTCTGAAGGCGCCCAGTTCCCTCCTGTCGCCCCGTCTCCCTTCCAATCCCCCTTCCCACCTCCTGCTACTCAGTTGTCAAACCCTTTTGCGCAGGCTTCTACGTCTGCTTCGCCATCTCCGTTCTCCTTCTCGCAGTTGGCGGAACCAGCTCAGAATGTGGAGGCTCCTGCTGTGACTACTTCTGCGTCTCCTTTCTCGTTTTCGAAGCCTGCGGAGACTCCTGTTGCGAATACTGTCTCGCCCTCACCCCTGGGTGGTTCCTCGAACCCATTCTCTTTCGCCAAACCAGCCGAGACTAGCCAGAAGACGGAAGCACCTGTCACCCTATCTCCTTTTGCTACCTCATCGTCCCCGTTCTCCTTTGCGAAGCCTGCTGAGAAGACGGATGTACCTGCTGCAACCCCTGCTGCCCCATCTCCTTTTGCCCCTGTGTCATCGTCTATTTTCTCGTTCCCGAAGCCGGCGGAGATGGATCAAAAGGCCGATGCTGGTACCGCAGCTACTCCTACAACATCCTCGCCCTTCAAGGCTAGCAGCTCTTCAGAGACTTCTGCGCCGAAGAATCCATTCGCATCTTTGAGTTCCGGCACGTCTCTACCATCCTCCCAACCAAACCCATTCGCCGCCTCTCTATCCGCGTTCAAACCTCCAGATACAACCCAGACAACGGAGACACCCGCGGTGACTGCTGCTGCGCCGTCTTCGATATTCAAACCCAGCACTTCCCCACCGGCGTCGTCCACTCCGGACTTCTCCTTCCTGAAACCTTCTTCCTCTCTACCTCCCTCCACCGCAGCTCCTACCGCCGCATCTCCGTTCAAATTTACAAAGGCACCGGAAGCAAGTCAAGCGGAGACACCTGTGGCGGCATCGACTTCGGTACCAGCTTCGATATTCGCGACCAGCAATACATCTGAGCAGTCATCAACCGCATTCAATAACCCTTTCGCATCTCTGACTCCCAAGACATCAATTTCATCTTCGGGTCCGGGGACAGTTGCTCCCTCTGCTGCTCCCTCTGCCTTTTCACGGCCCTCGGAACCCAGCGAGAAGGCGAAGGAGCCAGTTACGGCGTCAACCACTGCGAAGCCCCTCTTTAGCTTTTCAGCCGGTAGCACAAATGCCGTTCCTGGGGTATCGAATGAGGCGGATACTTCATTCGTAACTCCAGCGCCCCAGCCAAATGGGAAAGTTGATTCTTCTGCGGCTGTATCATCTACGCCACCCACATCTCCTCCGCCTGTCCCTGGAAGTCTCCCCTCAACTTCACCCAAGACGAGTGATACCCAGCCTGCGAAAAAGCGTTCCCTCGCATGGGAACAATGCCCCACACCTGAGCAAGTCTTGTCTTCTTTGTTCAACTACACAGGCCCTCTCGCTTCTTCCGCACACGCCAAAAGTTTATCTCCTAGCCAGTCAATTTCCTCACAATCTGGGCAGGCATCCAAGCTCTTCGACGCCAAGTCCTCTACGTACAACCCTTTGACTAATCCAACGGAGTCATCGAAGCCTTTGTTCCAAGGCTCAATTGCACCAGGGTCTTCGGTGCAGCAAGCTTCGTTAAAACGGCCGCATGATGATGACACGACCAAGCAGCGCAGGCGCTCTTCTCTGAAACGTCAGTCCACCGGTGCATCTTCAGGGAACCCTTTCAAACGCTCCGTGCATTTCGAGGCACCCTCCACCCAACAGCCACAGGAAATGCAAATGAGTCTCTCGGAGCTCTCTCAATCGGATGGTAAGTTAGGTAACATTTTACTTTGTGGTGTCTTACTGACTGTTTCTTCTAGCCCGAGAGCCAAAGGCAAACGTATCTCAAAAGCGTTCGCGGAGCAAGACGACAAGCGTACACAAGAAAAGATCACTGGATGAATCTACCGAAACCAAGTCGAACAATGGCCCGAGTCCCAAGCTGGTCAAGGTTTCGGATCCTCCCACCTCAGAAGAGCCACTTTACCCCAGATTCTCCCTGTCTAAGGTCCTGAGCGAGCCAATGCCGAAGCTTCCAATCCTGGAACGCCTTGAAAGAAAACTCGCAGAAACAAAGGCTCTAGTTGAACCCAAACCCCTCACCGATCAAGAGAAGAAATGGCTCGAGGAACAAAAGCGGATTCGAGAGCGCCAAGTCCAAGAAGACGAAATCCTGCTATCCCGTGCGCGGATCTTAGCCCACGAGCTGAAGAACGGACCCGGAATCTTCGATATTCCAAAGGACATGCCGTACTCCCCACCGGTGGATCCCCCAATCAACCATCGTCGTGCTGCTTTACTCGAAAAGGTTCGCCAACTCATGTCCCAGCCTAGAATACCAATACTGATTCCCCCGCGCATTGAACTACAGTCTAGCCCTCATGGATACACACTCAATTATGCACCAGATACACCTGGCCGTGCATCATTTTCCCCTAGTCGCTCCACGCACTCCACGCACCCCCGCGTTGAAGCCAGATTCCGACGCACCGCTTCTCAAGGATCGAGTTCTATCTCTCTGGGGATTGAGCGCTACAGACGTGAGAGAGACCAGAGGGCTGAAGCTGAGAGAAAGAGAAAAGAAGAGGAGAAGCAGAAAGCAAAGAAGGAGAAAAAGCTGAAGAAAGAGAAGGAGAACCAACGTGTGGTTTCGGTTGAGGATGATGACGATGTGGTGTGTTTGGACTGATTCCCATGCACCCTCCTCATTCGTCTTCTATTGTTTCAATTACCTTGAGTGTCTTTTTTTTTTCATTGAACATTGTTTACTTACGCATTTGTCGGGACTTTCACCTTAACTAGGTGTTACATGTTTGCATAATGTGAAGGCGCTTTGATGTACGATTTCTTTTCTATTGAATATCCATAGGAGGAATTTTAGCTTATCATTTACTTCAATTTTTCCCTGGCCCGAGGGAACTCATACGGTGTGCCATAGATGTGTACCTCTACGAAGTTGCGGTATGTCAAAGCCGGAACATAGTGGGAAGAAAGAAACATATCCTCGAGCTTGACCTCTGTTGAACCGCCGTCTGTATAAACCACATAAGAAGGTTCTTCCATGCCCCAGTCACCCCAATCCTGATCATTCATCAGATATTCGCAAGAAGCAGCGAAGCCAAACAAACAATCTAGATAATTCGTCATGAAAGATACTGGGCTGGCGTGGATAAGCCATGGTTCTCACAGCGCTTTTGCAAGTGGATGTAGTTGGTTAGGAATCTCTGGACTTGAATGTCCTTTTGTATCTCTCTTCCAACGTTAGTGCCTGGGCGCCGAATGACTCAAGTATCGGAACAGCAGACGTTCAAGCTAAAGCAGAACTAAGGCTGCACCTTGCTCTTTCTTGTTGTACCAAATCAAATGGGTCTTACTGTCCATCTACTGTATAACAATGCCATTAGCTGGGTGGAGATTGGAGACTGAATCCTCAGGCAGAATTATTTATAAGATCCTCGGCACGGCAGTTATCGACACCTTCCACAACATCCCACAATTAACGTTTGCTGTGATGGCCGAGGGCTGAACCAAGTAATCAATTGAATCATCTTTCGGGTGTGCTCAACATTTACCAATCACCATCATTCTGGCCAAAATTCTGCCCGGCTGCGTCCGCGTTGGGGCCATAACCCACGGACTTCATACCTCGACCGCGCCCAGGGTATCAGCGATCTCACGCGCATACCCCTCAAGGCCCACCAAACATCCCGACACAAGGCAAAACAAGTTCCATTTATTTATCCGAACTTTTTCAAGTTCGCAATCCCTCGAGATGAGGATCGCTACGCTTCAATTCGACCCGAAGCTGGGCGATGTCAAAGGCAACATCGAGACAGCCAATGCATTGCTGAAGAAGGGCAAGGCCATCTCTATAGATAGGGAGCAACCTGGACTCGGCCTTGGTATGGACTTTTTGAAGCCTGATGTTCTGGTGCTGCCCGAAATGGCCTTAACAGGTACGTACCTGGATGAGGCGAATATCCCTTTCATCGCGAGTCTGCGATGGGAATGGCTTCAACTAACATTGATTATAGGCTACAACTTCCCTTCATTGGAAGCAATCACACCATACCTTGAAACATTTGGTGATGGTCCATCTTCCTTGTGGGCGCGTGAAACCGCCAAACGTCTGCAATGCATGGTTTGTGTCGGATATCCAGAGATCGAAAAAGATCCCCAAAATTCTGGCCATACCACATGCTACAATGCCCTTCTTGTTGTTGACAAGAATGGCGATTTCATCCATAACTACCGCAAAAGCTTTTTGTACGTGTGCGACGAGCCGTGGGCGGCCGAGGGTGATGTCGAGCGAAGCTTCCGTGAGCTCAAATTTTCTTCCTTAGAAAGGTTATCTACCATCAAGGAAAATCAGCTGTTTCCCGAAACGAACGAAAAGCAAGTTGCAACTTCATTTGGTATCTGCATGGATATCAACCCGTACAAGTTCGAGGCGCCATTTGACAAATGGGAATTTGCATCCCGGGTCCTTGACTCCAAGTCCCAGCTCGTTATCTTGTCTATGGCGTGGACCAGCATGCTGAGCCCTGAGGAACTCGAGGATTTGAAGGACAAACCTGATATGGATACCTTCAACTATTGGCTGCAGCGGTTCTGGCCGCTGATAAAGAGGAAAATGCAACACGAGGTGGACCTGGACGGCGGAGAGGCGCCCGATTCCCCAAAGAGGATCGTCATTGTCTTTGCAAACCGGTCGGGGGAGGATCCACCAGCAGACGAGACCAAGCCACCGGTGCAATATGTGGGGTCCAGCACTATCCTCGCCATTACGCAACGACTGGGGAAAGATGCAGATGCAGGGTCAGGTGCCTCAGAAAGTGAGACAGAGGATGACCTCCCATTCGACGTGAAGATACTGTGCTGGGACATGCTAGGCGCGAGGGAGGAAGGTATTTGTTTCGCAGATACTACGGCAGATCCAAAAATGGTCTTTGCCCTGAAGCGGGCATCCAAGTAATGAGGCGCACACCGAACGCGTCAGACTCTCCTACAGATAAAGCAGATTCTATGAACGGGGCCAAGGTCGACCCTGGTCGGGTTTCCGTGATACATCACTCAGAAGAATTATACACGGTGTATATCTGTTCAGTGTTATGGCGATACTGGGACTGACTGGTTGCCACAGTCGCATCATGCGCAGATGATCCATGTGACAGGGACTTAACCTTGACATCCAGACGAAGATCATCGAGATCGTCAACATCTTCAGGCAAACGCTCAGAGATTCTGCAACAGATGCAGTCTCATGATCACTGGATCTTCATGAAGAGCACTAGAGACTAGTGAAGACCCTTTCTGTCTAATGCAACCCTTTGGAGATGGTGTGAAGGATTTTGGGGGGAATATTAATGTCTCTGAAACATGTGATTCTCTCCCCCACCCATAAGAATGAGGGGGACCAGATGTAGACTGAGAATAGAACTAGGAGTAACCTAAAAGGCCGGGTGGATTGAAAGCGGACTTCTATATCACAATTTGAACTAGGTCATCCCACTTTGTTCACAGTGCCCTGCATCGGGAGAATCCCCTTGATCTAGGCCATACATGTACATACATGTAGGTTTCCTTCGACGGTCCGACCCCTCGCAGTCTAAGACCCGTGAGTGGCCTTGGATATACCGGCACGTGATCCGGGATTTCCCCCCGGCATCCGGCGGCCAATCAGATCATGCGAAAGGGGGTGTGCAGCGGAGGGGCACGGGATCGCTACACATGACTTGCAGAGGGAGGCGACGAGGCATTTCAGTGTTATCTTCAGCTCGATTTGTTCCTGAACTTCCCCGGTTCTCTTTGGTTGACAACCGGAGGAACTGGAGGAACGCGTGATTACCTAATATCAGGTGACTTTTCTGCGCTGTTGGTCTTTCTGCCGGGACGGACCCTCTTCGCAACCACATCTCCTCGCCACGTGAGTTCCGTCTTGACTTGCCTACTCTACATCTCCAAGAATCCCCCCCCTCTTCAAGTAAATTTGCCGTGTTTCGATACATGGTCAAATCGATACCGCCGCTGGCTATCCAATCCATCAATTTCTCAACTTTCCAATTTCCGTGCCCCAATTTTCGAGATTCGGGGTTTCACAGACAACGTGACCTGTGTCTTGTTGTTGGCAGGTGACTTGCTGTCAGGTGATAAAGAGGATCATCCCAAGGTACGGCTCCATCGAAACCCATCTCCATCTAGTTTCCCCCATGTCATCGCATACGTCGCGACGAGATGCTCATCGCGAGTGCCCTTCACGATGCTATCCCCCCCTGTGTGACGTTCGCTGCCTGCAGACCACCATGACGCGTTTCTGATGTCCTCAACCCTCACGGGTGTCGCGAGATGTCGCGTCGGATATGGTGCTGGACAGAGTCACTGCCCTGTAGAATCATCTTTGCATTGCCGACCGCTGCCAGGCATCGCTGGCGATGGCAGAGCCTGACATGGCCGGCCTCCCTGAGATGCCGAGCGCGTCTGACCCACGCGTCTGTTTACTTCGCGGGGTGCCCACTGATCTGCCCCGAGTGGCTTGGCCTACGCATCGAACCTCAAGGCTGCATTGACATTGACATTCCCGATCATTGCCTTGTCTTATTGTCCGAGACTGTTTCACTTGCCTGTTGCCGACCCCTGACTGACTCTTACTATCAGAAAGTGATCGCCTTTTAGGCTCAGTATGTCTGATCCCACAATGAACAGCCCCGACAATGGATCGCACAAGCGCAAGAGAGATGGCTCAGAAGATCTAGGACCTGATCCTCAGCGTCTAAACCGCTCGTCTCACGGTAGCAACGGCAGCATGGGAGACAACCAGCACAACTTCGGTCACAGTGGACTTGGCAACTATGACCATGGTCTTCCCAACACTGGAGCTGAGCTCAACATTGACCAGCAGATCCTTCAACACGTTGGCCCGCAAAATGGTCTGTCTGATGATAACGCGCTGACAGCCAACGCCAAAGCCGCCCTCGCTGCACACACCCCTCAACACAAATACCCCCCTCCTCCTGATGCTGGATTCGATGCGAGCAACCTTACCCAGGGTCTGTCTTTCGATGAAATGAACCAGACTCCTATGGGTGGCGCCCACAACCACAACTCGACTGCTGCTGCGGTCTACGCCGCGCGTGAGGCACAAAGCATGAATCAGAAGCCCACTGTCGGTTCTCCGGAATGGCACCAAATCCGCAAGAACAACCACAAAGAAGGTACGAATGTCTTGAGCTTTTGTCGCACATCCCCGTACTAATCCGTCTGAAATAGTTGAACGTCGCCGTCGTGAAGCTATCAACGAAGGCATTAACCAGATTGCCCGTCTCGTGCCCAACTGTGATAAGAACAAGGGCGCCATACTCCAGCGTGCCATCGAATACATTCTCCAGCTACAAGAAGAGAAGAAGAATACCGAGGAGCAGTTTGAAAAGCACAGTCTCACTGCCAACCACGCCATTGCCGAGATTAGCAACTCCAACTCCAAGCTGAAGGGCGAGGTCAGCCGACGCAACAACCTTGCTTTGAAGTGGTTGCAGCGTTGCCGCGATGCCGGTCTAGAGTTCGATGACTATGAGGACTCAAAAGAGCTAGAGACACTGGAGATGGAGTAGGCAATCTCTGTTCTTTCTACACGTGCTACGACTATTGCCTGCTAGGAGGTTAAGACTTGAACATACCCTCATTTCCCTGTTGTTTTCCAATCTGTTGTTCTGCTCTTGTCTGATCTTTTCTCCTTTCTGCCATGTTTTCCTCAATCGATATGACCCTCACCATGGACCTATCATTACCCCCGTGTCCCCGAGAAACATTCTACCCCAGGCATGCTGAATGTTACCCTTTTTTTTATCTCCCCTATAGCTTCCTTCGCGACCCCTTTGCGGTGTTTCCTTATTTCTGAGTCCCCTTGATTCTCTTCTCACAAACTTGCGTTTGTACGCTATTCGTGGTTTTTCTTTTTTTCCTTTTTCCCCTTTTTCTTTTATCATTTCTTAACTTTCATCTTTAATGGATAGGCTGGCGAAATCTACGGATGGGATGGGTTCGCTTGGGAATGGAGCTGCGGTACAATATGAGTTATTCTTCAATATTTTAGAAATGGTGTCATAAAGGCTGCGCCACTTCCACACTACGTATGCGGTGAGATCGGAATCCAGGATTAGCGTGCGGAGATAGGCTACCCCTCTATGATGTAAACACGCCCCTCCAGGCTCCAGGGGCTATTTAGTTCCTGCACTTCCCCTTCTGCCATTTACTATATACTATATAACACATACATCATGCCGGATTACATCGTAAGATCCCGCCTATCTGCACAAATGAAACAAGAAAAGTAACCATTTCAACAGATTACATTCAAACCGGATGCCTCCGACAACGAGATGCAGGAGTATGTATCACACAATCCCCCTACTCGACGCCGGATACTAATCTCTCGTTTAGATTCAAGGACCATGCCATCGATCAGGGTGGATATATCGTTCAAGAGTACAGCTTGATCAAGGGCTTTGCGTGAGTCTCCCACTAACGTACTAACATACTAAGTTATATATACACATAGTATGTCTCGATATTACAAGGCACAATAACTGATTCTATTGCATTTAGTGTTTCGTTCAGTGAGAAAATTGTCACTTCTCTCGAGACGCACCCTCTCGTGGATAGAGTCGAGGAGGATATTCAAGTTCAGACACAGTAATCTGTATATCAGATATTGGATATTGGATATTGGATATTGGATATTCAGGTGGAACGGAGATGAGCAGATCGGAAACTACATATAACGTACGTTAACTCAATTTGTACATGTGCATGTATGATGAGATAGATGTACGGGCGTCGGTCAGCCTATAAAGTCTTAGTGGAGTAAGTAGGGCGGGCCTTCCGTCCTCCCCCGGCAGTATTTGACCACCGAACCTCTCCCCTAGGCTTTACCACCATAACTCAATCTCCATCATGCCCAACTACATCGTAAGCTACCACATATTATTGTTTTCCCAGCAAAGTAATGACACGAAACCCTAACTAACAATGTCAAACTCAAAAGATCTACTGCAAGCCCAAAGCCACCGAAGAACAGGTGCAGAAGTATGTATCATATCACATACCTACCTGCACGGAAACCTAACCTAATATCCCTCGCAGAGTCAGACAGGATGTCCTCGACAAGGGCGGTAGGATCGGCCATGAGTATTCATTGACCGGGGGCATCTCGTGAGTCGATTTTCCACCACGCCTTTTCTTTTCTCGATATCATAAGACGGAATGACTGATTCTGATTCTTTTAGTATTACCTTTGACTATGATGAAGATATTGTCAAGCCCTTTTATGCTCACCCTTACATTAAGCGTATCGAGAGGGATTCGGAGTTCGCCTCGCAGTAATTTGGATCTCGGATATCGATGTTGGATGTGAGGTGGGATGTGTGAGCTGATCGGAAATCTTCATTACATGGACGTCTATGGGTGACCATCTTCGCCTATTGGATCTGTACAATAGCGGAGTTCTTAGTTCTTTATGCTCTACTGTACCCTTCTGATTCATTCTCTTTGTGTGCTGTATTACTTACATCTACTGTATTCAATTTCAATGATGTCATAAACCATTCCGCTATGGACCTTAGAGATAGGTACAGCGTTCAATGGTCTTGAAGGTAATTTTTATAAGATGTGCGGAGTAAAGTGATAGCTGTGTTGTTTAGCTTTAAATATACCATGCGAGATTAAGCTTAAATGACCTTAACAGGCGACCATGAAATTTGTAAAGCATATGACAATTCTAAGTAGACATCACTAGCTATCATGTGCTCAGTGCCTTTAGACGAGAAGAATGTTTTTAAAGAGAAAATAGCGTTGAATTCAAGATAGGTTTGGGAGGAGCATAAAAGTGCATCATAGAAGCCTTGGAAATTATGCAAGGACAATCAATGAAATAAAATAGAACCCCCTCGTAAGTCCCAATCCTAAATCAAAATGAAACTTCCTAGGAAAGGTTCGACGAAGCAGTAACCTCAGAGCCAGAGGCACAGCCAACATTCTTAACAACAACAGTCTTACCGCTAGATCCGGTAACCCGCACATCAACAGTATCCGTACCGAACCCAGACGAGTCCTCGAAGTAGTTGTAGTAAGTACGGGTAGTGCTCTTCCACGAGCTACCACCATCGGTACTGACCTCAAGCTTGGTGACAGCCTCGTTGGCATTGATGACCTGCATGGAGAACCAGTAGGCAGATGTACCCTCCTTGTTCTTGAGCTTGATGGGGCCGTCGAGGTCGCAAGAGACGTAGGACCAGTCGATGTTGATCACGCCGGCAGAGATGTCAGACAGTTCAGCGAAGGCTGACTGGAAGAGGTCCAGGTGGTTGCTTTCGCATTCGGGGCATTGGTCAACGACCTATTCAAGGGAAGCGATTTGTTAGGCTTTGGGTTTTGTGGAGTGAGATATTTATGTTCAGGGTTTAGACTTACCATAGCCTTGATGGTTTTACCGTTCGGGCCGGTGACTGAGACACAGGAGCCGCAGTTGGCGGCGTTGTCCCATCGATCGGCTGAAAGGGCTGTGCCGAAGAGGGTGCTTGGCAGGGTGTAGCTGGAGAACGAGCATGTTCCGCCGGACACGTTGCCGCCGTAGAAGGTGGCTGAGCCAGAGTTTTCTCCAGAGCTTGACGAGGAGGTGGTAGAAGTGGTGCTTACAGCCTTCACAACAGGTGCCGCAGTAGTCTCGACGGCAGCAGCTTCGGCCGAAATGGTGGGAATTTGGGCAATTACAGCTGCGGCGGCAGTCTCGGCAGCGGTGGTAGTCTCAACCGACGAAGTAGGAACCTGAGCAACAACCGGGGCAGCGGTGGTCTCAGCAGCAGCGGTGGTCCCAATTGAAGAAGGAGAGATGAGATTGATAACTGCAGCGGACTCGACAGCAGAGGTCTGGACGACAGCGGCCTCAGCAGCAGTGGTCTCAGCAACAGGAGCCGAAGAAGTGGTAGTCGAAGAAGAGACCTCAACCGCAGCCACAGGGCTCACAGACTGAACGAGAGCAGCGGTAGACGATGGAGCCACAGTAGACTCGACAGTAGCGAACGCAGTCGATTCGGGGTAGATGGTCTTGTAGTAGACGCTCACAGTATAGCCCTTAGGACATTGGCCGATATCCTCGCGGATACCAAGAGGGCCAGCGGAGACAGTAGCAGCGCCGAGGAGGGCGACGGAGGCAAGGCTGAAATACTTCATTGTGGATAGTTCGCGTCTGGCGCTGAGTTGTAGAATATAAATTGAAAGAATTGAAGTGGGCAGTCTACAGTATTGAGATCAGAAGGGACAAATACGTCGCTTCTTGAAAACGAAGGATCGGACGTGCTGGATGCACTATGGAAGGAATGGACGGTCTGGGGTGAGAATCCCAGATTGGAAGGTTATACTGTGCCAGACAGGAGTGAAAAGAAGGTATGAGAAAGGAAAATGGCATGGGAGAAAGACATGGCTATTAAGTCTAGAAGCCTGGGCGACTCAAAACCCTAACAATCTGATCTGAAACGACGTGGAGGAGCAACGGCCAGTGTCGATGCTCGGGAGAAGCCGAAAAGGGCGCGTGGCCCAGGGCGCTATACCGAGTTAGGGCTAGTGGGGAGGTGCTTATATTAAAGAGGAAATGACACTGGAACAAGTGAGATTGGGTGTGCAAAGTACCCTGAAACCCCCCTGCGGAATAAATTGCCAGGTCTAACTAAGCGCAATAGTATGAACAGGTCCCCCTACCGGGCGTCCCACATGATCTCGTTCAGCCTTAGTAGCGCATCTGCACTGGCCTTCTTCGCCGACATGAAGTCCTCCCGGCTCTCTGCCCCACGCGGGCCGCGGAGGATCTCTGAGAAGCACAAGTCCACCAGGACACATAACTCGTCATATGTGAATGGCTCGCCATTTCCAGCAGCCAAGGCCTTGGCACCTTGGGATGCAAACGCCTCCTTTTCATCCTTGGCGTAATCCAGAGATTTTTCCGCGCCTTCGAGGAACCAGTCCAGGAACTTGGCGCTTCGCGGTAAGGCAACGACCTCCTGAGAGGCCTGCTCATGCAAGCCTGTTGTCGAGGAAGGGACATCACTGGCTGGGTCGATAATAATGTTCTTCAGGTTTTGCTGCAGCACGAGCACGTCGAGTTGCAGTCGCAGAGCACCGTTTTCGTTCATTGCCCCGATGTACCGGGTGCAGGCGACAAAGACGCGGTCAATGAACCGGGCTAGACCTGATGTGATGAACCAGCGCTCAACGGACCCGAGATATGTCGAGATATTGGTGTCGAATTCGATGAGGTCGTTGTTTAATGTGAGGATCGTGGGCGATGCTGCTGTTGGCTGGTTCATGATGATGTGCCACCAGTTGTCCTGCGTACTTGGGGATGGAGTTACGGGCTCGGAGTTGCGCAGTGTAGGAGGGTTTGGTCCGGACATGGTCTTAGTCAACATGTGGATGATGCCGCAGCGGATGTCGACGTGCATTGTCAAAAGTGCAGTAGTACCAAGCCCGTGTAGTGATTTAAGTGTCCCATCGAAGGCTACTACTGTCTCGTGATTGAGCGGCAAATGCACCGGGTTATTGATACTATCACGCTTGGGTTTGACGGCCCCGAACAAGGTCCATCTGCGTGAGGGCCGCCCGGTAGCAGTCAAACTTGATGATTCGGCGTCAGATGTGTGCTCGACAACAAGGCGGATTTTGGCGAGGTGGCTTCCAAGCCATTGCTAGAAACACGTCAATAACCGAGTGAATAAAAGCAAAAATGAGAGCCTCGTACCATGCTGTTATACAAAAGAGAAAGAGAGACAACAGTCTTAGGGTCGGATATGATGTCGTACGGCTCCAAAGGCACTTCATTTGTTCGCTTGAGAAGCAAGTCGATTTCCTGTGTCTGTTAGCGAAAGTTTTTGTGAATGGCTACAAAATTGCACACCGTATCAATAAGTGTCTGCTTCTTGTCACCGGAATCTTTCCACAGCTCTTCTACTGTATCACGGATGTCGCCTGTTTCAACAAAAGCTGCCGCAGCTTTCAACCGGACGCCGCCTCCATGACTGCGCGCAGACACTCTCGTAACCATGGCTTTACGCGTTATCAGCTTAAATTGGCAAAGGAACGTTCGAAGTTGACTAACCTTTGTACCATCCACAACACTTGTCATAATAGGTCACGATCTGGTCGATAAGAAGTTGCGTGAATGCCTGGTCGTGTGGAATACTAGACAGCATTTTGCTAAACTCTCGAACAATGGTCATGAATTTGACCGTTCCCTAGAAGATGGAGTGAATTAGCATTCTCACAAGACATTTAGAGGAAGAAAACTCACCCTGAAAATAGGCCGAGGAGAGACCTTGGCCCATTGGGGGTCCTCTGTAAATGCATCAGCAGCAATAAAGCTGAGTGTGCAGAGATCCGTCACGGTCTCATCCAGCTGGGGCAGGAAGACGTTGACCATAAAGTCGTCCAAAAAGGAAGTCAATGTGCTCATGGAAATATCCGCATCTACAGGCACAATGTCTTTGAGACGTTGGATGAAGGATAGGGAAGGTGGTAGGAGGAGACCCATATTGAAGACACTGGGCTCGAGCAAGATCTTGTGGCCAGTCCCTGAATTACCCTTGCTGGACTGTGAAGTATCATTCGTGGCGGCCTTTTGCCTTGACTTGGAAACCAGTCCTGGCACAGAGGATTTGAGAATCTCGTCCAGCTCATCTTGCTCGGCTTTCATCTCTGAGCTTTGCTCAATGTCGGATAGCTTGAACATTTTCTGCAACGTAGAGCTGGTCAGCTCTGTGAATCAATGATCATGGCTGTTTGTCTTACCTTGTTCTTATCGCGGTTGCCCGAGTAGAGATGGCGTCGAGAGTCAGACTCCTCGCCTCTAGATCGGACAGAGGAATCTCCATCTGTCGCAAGATAGTCGTGCATGAGGGACCGTATCTGGAAGGAGGATTAGCGAATTACCCTAAAACATTATTTCCACCACTCCTTGTCTTACCTCGCTCTGCAGGAGTTTCCATAACTCCTTGAATCCACCAGAAAGTGTCTCACTTTTGATGAAGCCTTCTCGCTCCACAATAGCCGAAACAACATCATGAAGGACTCGGTGACCCTCTGCAATAGCCTCGAACTTGGCATATAGTGCCCACAGGAACTCGGAGAGCACATGGCCACGTTTTTCAATGATATCAGTCGGGAGATTGGACTTGCTGTAATTGTTGTCCTGGGCTGAGAAACTTTTAGTTGGCGCAGGGTAGCGAGTATCAACGTCGGCATTCGTCTTATCCACCACAGCAAACAACTCGACTGGAAGACGCTGCTCAATCCGATGAACTGCGATATCAAGATGACCCATCTTGTTAAGTGCTTCGATCAACAGCTGAATATAGGAGAAGGTGTCTGCCTCCGGGTTTCGAGAGGCATCTTCGACCATGGGCGTCAACGGATCGAACTTGGCAAGGAAACTATAGATAGGCCGCTCCCAGGATCGGTTTCCGGTAACACTGGAGGTATTCACCTCTCCTTCAGTAGTCGGCGCTTTCCACCGATCAGAGCAATATGGTGACTTGAGGTATAGGTGATCATGCAACTCTTCAATCAAGATATCCGTAAGCGATGTTTCCTGGTTAATGAAATAAGCACGGATATCAGACAAGGCGCCAATGTCCTCCAGTTCCGAACGCCGTAGCAGTCGAAGACCGGCGTGAAGAACATCCACCGCTGCAAGGAATCGCTTGTCCGAGATCTGGGATTCGAGCTTTTCGGGAAGAGATTGAACCTCTTCAATCTGAGTGAATAATTGAACAATGTCATCGTAGTTCTGGGAGGACGTTGCCAGCCCTTTCAGCTCAGGCTTCGTCGATATTAATCCTGATTTTGCTTGGTCAAGGGCGTGCCTCAGGTTGCGCACTCGATTTTGCGAAGAAGAGATGTTCGACTGGATTTTGTGATATGTACCAATGGAACTGTTGAAGCCTTGGTGATGTTCTTTCGGGCAATATTAGCATCATCCCTCTTTGGCGATTAGAGGGAGCACGTACCATTCACAATAGCCTTCAGTGTCTTCTGAATATCATTGTACATACGCAGGAAGTCCGGTTCGCGATCTGCCTTGCCCAATGTACTCGTATCCATCAAGCTCAAAGCAACGTGTACCGGCACACACTCGGCGTCGGTCATGAAATCCCAATCGCGCTGAATCGACTGAAGCACAGCTGTAGAAAAGACCCCTATTAACACCTGCTAGTGGGAGAGCCGCGGGGCGAATACAAACCTTCAATAGCCTGTGACTCTCCAGAGGTAGTCCCCCTTCTAACAACAGGCGACGCATTTCTCTCCTGATCCCTAGTATCCGCATGCCGACTCGCATCTCTAGACCGATCCTCCCGGTATCGCCTATCAGCATCCTGATTCCTCGTCCGAGACCGCGAAGTGGAAGTGGACTGCGAGGGCTGCTGGTAGTCCCGATTCGTTCGATCGCGCCGGCGCTCTGGAGACTGGCTCTGCGAAATAGACGACTGCGAATTCGGTTCAGGGTAGAAGCCACCGTAGCCTCCCGGGCGACGATCTGACCGTCCACCTCCGCCTGGTGGTGCTCCAGCACCCCGTCCACTGTATCCGTTCACCCCGAGGTTGTTGTTGGTACCGCCATATCCGCCGTCGTTCGTTTCGTAGCGGCCGGTGTCGGAGTAGCCGTAGCCGTTTCGGCCGCTCATTCCAAATGATGTCCACTAAGCACGGGGTGGTCAGTTTCGGTCTGAAAGGCGTTGGTGGACTGCGTTAAGGGGCTGTGGGGTCGCAGTTGGCGATATATGTCCGGCTTTAGGTGTGGCTTGCGCGCGACAGTAGGCGATGGGAAGTGGGCATTCTTCGTCGAATGTAGGCTGGGAGCAATTGAGGTTGGTGATGGGAGGCAGGGCGGAGTTGCCAGCTCCACTGGAGCTTCCCGCATTCCGGCCAGTTGTACTGAACCTGAGATCTATGATCTACGCAAATGGTATCTTCTTGTATTACTAGGTTTTTTTAATATTGTTTTCTGACTCATAATTAATGCAGATCTAGAATGCTGTATCTGCATGCATGCTAAATTATGGTATGATCACACTGTCAGATGCATGCCTATTAACGACCATTTACTTGGAGATGGGCTGGGTTTCACGCTCGAGCCACGACCGAGTCAAGTCGTCTGCCTGGAAGAAGTGCTCTGTCTTCGCCCA